TAAGTCAAGGTCGGGAGGGGACAAAGGACACCGCGGTGCCAGTGGGGGCAAACGTGTGCGTCGCTCTATCATATTCGGGGAGGGGGGGCGGGTGTGTCTGTTGCTTTGCCACACTGTCAGGTGTCCAGCTCCTGTCCCCGCCAGGCACCGAGGTACACGCTGCCCTTGTAATCTCACATTCAGCTTCAGGGCACCAACTGCCCAGAGAAGCAAGGCCACACCCAGGGGTGTGGATTGGTCACGGTCCCACAGCTAAGGGGAGTCAGCTAGTGGGGGAAGATCAGGTGTGCAGGGGCCGACGGGAAGGTGTCCAGGTCGGCTCCAGCCTGGGAGGGGCACCCCGTTGCCTTGAGGAGGGCCACGGTGGTGCCAGTGGGGTGGCACCGGGGAGATGGAACCCCAGTCGTCCCTGGTCAGGGCACCTGAAGCCTGGGGCCTCTCGCTGCTCCCTCTGGTGCTGGCCTCGAGGCTGGGGATGCTCAAGAATGCCCTGGCCCAGCTAGAGTGGGCTGCACACCTGATGGGCCAGCACGGGTGGGGCAGGGCCCGGGAACCCAGGCCTCCCCGCCACCCCAGAGCCGGCCCAGGGCCAGAGGCCTTCGTGAGCCTGCCCGGCAACCACACACCACACAGGGCAGGTGGCTGGGGCACACCCTCCCCCTCCCTTGCAGATGAGGCATCGAGGTGGTCTTCTCCACCTCTTCTTCCGGGCTGGGGCTGGGCCAGGGGCTGCTCTCCCAGACGCTCCCAAATCCCATGGCCCCTGGCTGCTGCCCAGGGCAGGGTGGGGTGGCTCACGGGACGAGAATCTCCTGCACGTTGTTGATGATCTGCTTGCCCACCATGATGACCAGGAGCTCCTGTGCCAGCTCGATGAGGCAGCCTCCGGCAGCACACTACAGCAGCAAGGCTTCAGGTTAGCTCTGGGAGGGACCGGCCTCATCTCCGCCACCCTTCTCTGTGCCTCGAAGGCGTCCCCTCCCACGCCGTCCCCTTTCAGACATGCCACAGCACACCCAGGACTGCAGAGACTGTCCCTCCCTCTCCTCGACCTCATGCAACCACCCCCCAGTCTCCCCCAGATCCAGCTGGCAGACTGTGCATAGAGATGATGGGGGTGCTGCCCTATCGCACCCCAGCTTTCCTTTGGGGACCCACACAAAGGTGGGTTATGTGGGGCTGACCCTAACCTGTGCCTCCAGGGAGGACTCAAGATGTAGGCCCCACGAATCGGTGACCCGAGTCAAGTGAGAGTCGGGCTGGGGCTCTTACGGGGGCTCCTGAGGCGGCACAGGGGTACTGAGCTCGAGGGTGTCAGGCCAACTGCAGGGTCTCCCCAACCAGGTAAGGAGAACCTGGCTGAGTGCGCGCCAGCGATGGGGAAAGCAGCTCGGCACTGGTTAGACCCCTGGATCCAGCCATACCTGAGCCCACGGGGCCCTGAATGTGTTTGGTACCAGAGCCAGTGGCACTGCCTGGTTTGCTTAAGCCAGTTTGAGTTGGGAACTTTTCCCACTGACAACTGAATGCTGCTTCACTGATATGGCGTGTCGTGCACAGTCGTGCCCCCAGGTTGGGGTCCCAGCTGCCTGTCCCTAGGAAGCTCCTCCCATCTCATGGAAAATGGAGGGTGTCCCTCAGAGGTGGCAACTTTGCAGTCAGCTCTTGGGTTGGGTTACAGCCCAAACCTGCGGGAAGGAAGGAGACCCTCTTTTTCTCAGAAAGGAGAAGCGGGTCTTTTAGGTGATGAGCTCAGCAGGAGCTATCAGACCCCCGCCCGTGTCCCCTGACCCAGCTCGGAAGCTACCTGTGGACCGTCCCAGGCACGCCCCCCATGCTGCCTGCACCTCTGGGCTCGGCGTGCTTGGCCTTGCCCTGGTGAGGAACCGGATGCACGAAGACCATTTGGAGATTTCCTCCAATGTCCCAGAAGGTCCAGGACAGAGTCGCTCGCACCCAGGGGCTCATAGCAGTGACCCCTCCCTCAAATGCAGGCACGCTCCCTTCTCCTGCCCCGCCCCCACCCCTCACATGCTTGCTGGGGTAACGCCCACAACAATTGCTTGCACCTGAGTTTTTATCTTGGGGCCTGCTTGGGGGACCCCACACTATAGCGATGCTTCATCCTGCACCAAACCCACTTCCACGTCCACCAGGTTCACGCCTGGCTCTCGCAGCAGCCTGTGCTAATGGGGTTGGGGCTGGCCGCGGGGAGAAGCCAGGGCCGCCCTGGCCACGGGCACCGAGCCCCTGAGGGTGTCCAGCCCCTGCACCCCCGCTCCCCCACGGTGGTTCGGGTCCTTCACCAGGGCTGAAACCCGGCTCAGGTGTGCACCGAGCCGCACGGGAACAGGAGGCACGAGCAGGACCTGTGACTAGGCGTGCAAGCGGTGCGGGGTCGTGCGGGGCAGGAAGGTCCGAGGCCCTGGAGGCTCAGGAGGCGCGCCCCAGGGTCTCCGCCTCCGTTGGCGGGTGCTGGCCTCCCCACACGCTCACCTCCTCGTTGCGGACCCCGAATAAGGTGTGATAGTTGCCCGGGTATCCCACAAACCTGGAGGAGAATCGGGGCCCGGAGGCCACGAGTGAGGAGCGGCTGCTGCCCCCTCGCCCGCCCGACAGGAGGAACACCAGGTGGGCCCGAAACCGAGTCTGCTCAGAGGCCCGAGGCCAGGACTGGCCCCGGTCCCACCCTCGGCTCCTGTGCCAACAGCCCCCTTCCCTGGGCGTCTGGACGGCGTCCCGTGCCCGCCGGGGGGAACAGGAGGGCAGAGTGGAGGGAGCGGTGCTGACCTGCCCTTGAAGAAGGCGATGTAGATGGGGGAGGAGTAGAAGTTGACAAACTGGAAGATGAACACCTTGAGGGTGAAGGCGTCCTCGAACTTGGTCTGCGTGCGGTGCATTTCTGCGGCACAGGGGGCCCTCGCTCAGTCCCCCACGTGAGGCCAGCCAGGGAGGAGGAGAAGGTCGCACTGCCGGACGTCTTAAGGAAACTCACTCGAGAATGGGGTGGGGTATGGCACTCCTAAATGTCTACTTTCAAAGTCGCTTAAAAACATCGCGTTGGTAGAGGAGGAGCTGGGGGAAGGGAAGGGAGGTGGCACCGACGCGGAGTTGCCACGGCGCGCACAGGTGGGCACAAGGGGTCGGAGCGACAGAAGAGAGCCTGGGGGCTGGGCGGAGGAGGTGTCCGGGGCTGGGGACACACAATGTTAATCGAGGGGGACACCCGTGGCTGGAAAGGGGGGACGCACGAAGCCTGCTGTTGCAGAAACACTCGGGGCAACAGAGCCCGTCCCTGCCGTCCCCACACCTGGAGCCTCTCCTCGGACACCTGCCCACTGCTGTCCCCACACCACCGTCCCCAGGTGAGTCCTCTGTCCCTCTCTTAGACCAGGCTGGTAACAGGTAAGCAGTTTGTGTGGAACGGACAGACTGCTTCATCAGCGTTTGTCCTCAGGAGATGGGGGTCAGGGAAAGGAGGAGAGACGCTGGCGGAGAGGGCATGGAGAGAGGGGCAGGAAGGGCAGAGCAGAGGGAAGGGGCTCAGGAAAGTGGAGGGGGCCGGGTATGTCCCGGGCCCCGGAGGGGTAGCCCGGCTGCGAGGGTGTCCCGTTGTCCACCCACGGAGGCCCCACTCAGTGCTATGTGTGAGGCCCCTGGGCAGGGTCCCACATGCCCCGTCGGTGCCTCGCTCAGACAGAAGGGCCCATAGGTAGGACAGGAAGTCGAGTTCTGGCCGGCAGGGCTGGGCGGGTCCCAGGGTCAGCGCCCAGCGTCCTTGGCCACTCACCCCATCTCGTCAGGATGTGGGCCAGGGCCACGTAGATCTTGGAGAGGACGAGGATGAAGACCAGGTTCACCACCGACCCCGTGAAGCTGGCGACGCGCGAGGCCTGAGGGGAGCTGGCGGGTCAGAGCGGAGCGCGGGAGGGGTGGTCCAGAGCCTTCCACCCCACCCAGCGGGAGCGGGCGGTGGAGGCTCACCCAGGCTGCGAGGAGGGTGTTGTTCGACCTGGACACGAGGGTGGCCGTGATGGCCCGGTACAGGATGATGGACACAAGGCACACGACCACCACGGCCACCTGTGGGGCAAGGCAAGTGCGTGAGCCCCCGTGCGGCGGCCTGGCACTGCAGGGCCCTCTAGAGCTGGCTGTGGTCCCCGCCCGTCCTAGTTGGGGGGCAGAGGCGGAGGGTGGGGAGGAAGGTCATTCAGAATGGAGGGTGGGCACCACGTGGATGGCCAGAGGCCGCCGTGCGTTGCTCTGGGCCCTCGATGCTACGGAGCCGTCCCTCCTACCCCCACCCCGCGCCCTCAGCAACCGAACGTTGGGGATTGCTAACGTCTTGGAAGGGGAGGGAGAGGGAGGTGGTCCTGTCTGGAAGCCCCTCTGGCTGGAGAGCAGGGGTGGGTGGGCCCCCCGTGCTGGATGCTCCCCCCACGCTTGAAGGCTGCCCCGGGCCCGCGTCCACGGGAGACCTTCGCAGAGCCCCCACCTGGCACGCACCGCCTCCTACAGCCTGGACCCCCGAGCGTGGCCCCCCGTCTGGAGCCCGGGCACACAAAGGCCTTCTGGGGCCTTCTGGGAGCCGTGAGAGTCTCGTGGGTCCCAGAAGAAGCCTCGGGCTCCCAGCCTCAAGGTTCGGAGAAGGGGTGACGAAAGGTGCCCCACGGGGCTCACGATGGGGAGGGGAGGGCAGGGTGGCAGGGGCTCCCTCACCATCATCACGACCACCGCGGAGCCGGCCAGCACGCGGCGTACGCGGCTCCTCTCCGGGAAGTAGGGCTCGTCCTCCCCGGTGACGGGGTTCGGGGCCGTCGTGGGGGCCGAGGCGGCGAACTGGGGCCGTGGCCTCTCCTGGAAGGGAGCCCACGTTCAGCAGCGGCCCGCGCGCGTGGGGAGGAGCGGCCCCGGGCCCGGGGACCCACCTCGATGTCCTCGTAGTCCGAGCAGCCCCAGCGGTAGGCCAGCGTGGCGCTCTGGCGCTTCCAGTACTCCAGCAGCAGCACGGCCCACAGCGCCATGAACACGCTGAAGAACACGGTGCCGCCGTGGTCGAAGAGCCGGCTGGCCTGCGGGCGCGGGCGGGCGCGGCTGTGACTCGCGTGGGACCCGTGGCCCCTGCGTCCCGCCGAGTGCTCCCTTTTGGAAGGCAACACCTTTCCTGTGCCTGCCCTTCGCCCTGCTTGTCTCTCCGCGCGCGCAGGCCCACGGACGGGGACGGGGAGGGCGTCGCCCCGGGGTGGCCCCTGATCGGCGCGATTCAGGGGATGGGACGCGGGACGTCCCACTCCGCCTCAACGCTGCTACGGGCTGAGACTTTGGGGGACGTTGGGTTGGGGCGAGCGTGTCTGGCACACAGGATGGATGTGAAGTTTTGGGGGCCAGAGGGCGGATGGTGATAGGTTGAACTGTGACGTCCCCCTGGAACCACGGATCGTAACCTCATTTGGAATGAGGGCCTTCGCGCATATAGTTAAGGTAAGGACCTCTGGGTGGGAGCACTCGGGACAGCCCCTAAGCCCGGTGACAGCTTTAGAAAAGAAGGGGAAACAGGAAAGACGGGGACAGAGGTTGGGGGACGCAAGCCAACCAACACCGAAGACTCCTGCGGCCCCACACACTAGGAGAGGGCCGTGGAGCAGACGCCCCAGAAGAAACCAAACCCTGCGGCCGCTGATCTCGGACTTGGGGCCCCCAGAGCTGTGAGAAAACAGTTCTGGTGTTTTAAGCCCCTCGGCATGATCACCTGTGCCAGCAGCCCTAGGAAGCTGATTCCGACGGGGTCCCAGGGGTGTACCAAAAGTGTGTCCGGTCTGCGGGCCCATCCTGGGCACCCGGGCGCCCGGTCCAATGTGGGTGGCGTGCAGGCAAGGCCACAGGGCCGCCGTCCCCGTGGAAAAGCCCATGTGCCCAGGCAGTGCGCGGTGCTGACGTGTGGGCGGACAGGGTCCGGGACCCAAGGAGCCTCCCTCCTCCCGCCTCCCACTCGGGCTGTCTGTGCCCCAAAAGTTTCGGGGTTTGTCTGCCTTGGGGAGTCTCCCAGCTGACCTTGGCCACTTATGCACAACAACACAACGCAGCTAAAGCTGGCACGGCTCCAGCTGGAGCGTTGCCACAGTGGGCCTGCCTTCAACGGTGCCAGAGCTGGTGTTACCCACAGGCGGGACCCTCCCCTCCCCATCACCCTCGTACCTGGACCAGGGTGCAGGCACTGGAGAGCAGCCAGAAGGGGCAGTCCAGGCAGAGCGGGCACATCTCAAAGTGATCGGTGCTGCTACACAACTCCTGCCTTCTGGGCACAAGGACAGGCTGCAGGAGCCCTAGGGGAGCAGGCTCACACCAGCCCCACCCCTTGCCCTCTGCCTCCCCCCAGCTGCCTTTGCCAGGCTCAGCGTTTCTTTAAAAAGCAGCTTTAGGGGCGCCTGGGTGGCGCAGTCGGTTAAGCGTCCGACTTCAGCCAGGTCACGATCTCGCGGTCCGTGAGTTCGAGCCCCACGTCGGGCTCTGGGCTGATGGCTCGGAGCCTGGAGCCTGTTTCCGATTCTGTGTCTCCCTCTCTCTCTGCCCCTACCCCGTTCATGCTCTGTCTCTCTCTGTCCCAAAAATAAATAAAAAACGTTGAAAAAAAAAAATTTTAAAATAAAAAGCAGCTTTAAGGGGTGCCTGGGTGGTTCAGTCGGATAAGCGTCCCACTTTGGCTCAGGTCACGATCTCACGGTTCGTGGGTCTGAGCCCAGTGTTGGGCTCTGTGCTGTCAGCACAGAGCCCCCTTTGGAGCCTCGGTTCCCCTCTCTGTGCCCCTACCCCATCCCCCCTCAAAAATAAACATTAAAAAATAATAAAAAATGGCTTTAAGATATATGCAGTGCAAATTTTTAAAAATATTTTTAACGTTTATTTTTGAGACAGAGTAAGCAGGGGAGGGGCAAAGAGCGAGGGAGACACAGAAACCGAAGCAGGCTCCAGGCTCCGAGCTGTCAGCACAGAGCCCGACGCGGGGCTTGAACCCATGAACTGCGAGATCATGACCTGAGCCAAAGTTGGATGCTTAACCAACTGAGCCACCCAGGTGCTCCTATGCAATGATAATTTTTGAGATAACTTTTTGAAATTTTAGCTCCATAATGAAGTAAAACCCAAGGCCATTTATGGATAAGAAAAGCTTATACTGTTACAAGAAGCGAGGGTAAGTACCAATAAAATTAATCCAGGAGCACACCTGTGCACCTGTGTCGCTCTGGGAGCACACCCGTGCACCTGTCAGCCTTCCAGCCAGGTCCACGGTGTCCTCTACGACAGGAGGGCATGGTTATGCTCAGTGCTCACCTCCATCCCCAGCCCTGCACAGGGCCTGGCACCTGTGGGTCCCTGAACCACACGCCCGCCTCAGGAGACACAGGGCAAGGCTCGGGGGCTGGGAGATGACACTTACGTGGGTATGTCTGAGAACACCAGGAAACAGCCCACCAGGAACACCAGAGTGCCCACTGCCGCTGCCGGCAGGAGCCAGCCTGTGTAGAACCCTGCAGGGCAACACTGGAGTTGGCCCTCCGGGACTGGGCGGAGGGACCCTGGGAGTCCGCCGTCGGTGCCCCGAGTGGGCCCGTGTACCCAGCGCAGAGCGAAGCAGTGGGTGGGGTCTGCACAGCCACACTTGTCCCTGGGGAACCCATGCTCCGCCAGCAGAGTCAGACCTTCTGCCGGCAGCTCTGAGCAGAACCCCCCCCCCCCACTCCTGGCCTCGGCACTTGACTGCCCCAGAGCCCCAGCCCAGTGTGGCGACACCTCCTGGACACCCCTTTCCCGAGTCCAATTGGTCTCTAAGCACCATGCCTGGGATGGACGTCCCCATCGCGGGAAGCACACCGCTCACTGCACTCCACCCCGGGAGACCGATGGCGGTCCATTCTGGATGCTTCCCTCTGCCTCAGCCCACCCACTGTGGCCAGATTCCTGTTACCCCCAATCCCTCAAGCGGTCGCCCCACTGTCTCCCATGGGTCTGCCTCCAGCCCCATCCTGCATGGGCAGAGGGACTTCCGTAGAAGGCCGGCCTGTCTGGAACCCAGATGAAGACCCTGTCCTCGTGCCGTCTGCGGCCCTCCAAACTGGCTCTGCTGTCCCACGGCCCCCGCTCCCCCCGGCCCCCTTGGGGTCCTCGCACACATGCTATGCCCTTGGGCTGCATGCCCGGGCCTGGTGCACCCTTCCACCCGCCCAGCCCTCTCTGGGGCCACAGAGGCTGTGGGTGGCCTCTCCTTCTGTGTCACCCATGGCTGGTGCCTTCCATGAGAGCAGAGTCCCTGCGTGCTGCACAGCATCCCCAGTGTGGCTTGAGGCCTGAACAGATGCATGCATGCACGACTGAAGGGCTGCCCACGCCCGGGGCTGGAGGGCACGGGTACTGTGTTTAGGGATGAGAAAGGACTTCAGAAGTTTTGGGGCACAGAACAGTGGGGAGAGGGCCATGCTCATGGGGGTGAGCCTGTGAGGGGGCAGAGGCCCCCAGGCTGCCCAGGGAAGAAGGTCGTTCCAAAGGTGCCAGTCTGCCTGCAGGTGATAAGAGGGTGGCTGGCCCTGGACCCAGGCAGGGGTGACCTCAGCTGGTCGGGAGTTCCTGGAGTGGCCCAGGGCCTCATGGGCCGCATCTGGTGGGCTGGGGACACTGGGGGGCTGAGTCAGGAGGGCCCTACCTGCGGAGGGGCGTTCCTAGTCCCTTGCTGGGGCGTTAGGGCCCAGAAGAGCCACAGGAATATTACTGGGGCTGGTGGTCGCTGGGCAGGTAAGGCTGGGGATCGGGAAGGGTTTCCCCAGGAGGGGCCAGCGTGGCTCTCCCCGGGGGGGCAGGACTCACCAAGCCAGGCGAAGTAGAAGGCCACCTTCTCCCCGAAGTATCTGCGCACGTGGTCCAGAGGCTGGTACTTGTTCCACTGGCTCCAGCGAGCCCAGTACCGGAACAGAACCTGCCTTTGGGTGAGGCCCGGGGCCTGAGGGCCCTCTGGGGGTGTCCTGAACGGGCCCTGTGGACAAGAAGCTGTCGGGTGGGGAGACCCAGGCTGGCCGACTGGGCACTGTCATAGGTGTGGCGCTCAGGAGGGCTGCCTGAGGAAGGAAAGAGGGGTGTGGGGGGGGGGGCCAAGGGGCCAAGAAGGCCTCTGAGGAAGGGCTATCTGCGTTGAGTCCCTCAGCCAGGGCTCCTGGGGCCTGGGGCCAGGGCAGGGAAGGGTCTGGAAGACACCAGGAGGCATGTCTGGGTAGGGGCTCCTGCCACCCAGAGATGCGCAGCCCACAGCAACCACAGGGCAAGTGGGGCCGGCTGTGCCTGTGGAAAAGCAGTGCCTCCCAGAGCCAGGGGGCACTTGCCATCCCGCCCGTTGCCTTATGTACCCCTAGGCAGCGTCTGGGGAGGAGGGACAGTCCCCACGGTCACACAGCTGTGGGTACTGGCCTGCCCTAGCCCTGCAGGCCCCACCCTCTTTGTGCAGCTCTGAGGACTCGCGGTGGGTACTGCGCAGGGGGCCGGGTGGAAAACAGCTTCCAGACCTACATGGTGGACATTTTGCCAGGACCCTGGTCAGGCCAACAGGTGCCACTCCCTGGTACCGCCCTAGTTTACCTGGCTTCGAGAGGGGCACAGAAGACCTCCCGTCTTCCCCGAGACCGAAGCTGTCCAGGGAGGGAGGGCTACTGGGCCTGTCACATGGCAAGGAGGGTGGCATCTGGCTACCACAGCCTCAGACAGGCCCTCGTGTGGCCCTGTCGCGTGGCAAGCGTGGCCTGGGCCGCCCGTCTGACCACAGCTGCCTAGCACAGAGGGGGCCGCTGCCCCACATGCCCGGAGGTGGACGGCAGGACCCGGCGGTCCTCCTCAACCAGGAACCCACCCTAATGCCCAGGCCAGGGCCCCACCCCACCCCATCAAGCCCCTGGTCTCACATCATGCAGGGGGAAGGCCGCGCTAAAGACACCCTCCGCCAGCAGCTGGTCGATCCCGCACAGGCCTTTCTTCTCGTGGCCATATGGGGTCTTGGCCAGGATCGCAAACAGCTAGGGGTGGTGGGAACAGTGCCGGTTACCTGTCACGTGCCAGCAGGGCAGGACCATCCCGGCCCGCTGATCCCCGGCCGAGCCCTCTGCTGACAAGCAGTGACGAGACTTTGTGGGTCCAGCTCCTCCGCACGTGGCTGGCTCACACATACCACCGTCCCCGATGCCCCGCTTTACTTTGGCCACAGTCACTGGAATCACAGGAGTCCAGTCTGGATCTGAACCCAGGCCCCAACTCAGGGTCACAGCCTCCACCCGGGTGCCTGTGTCAGGGGTGGGCACCGCCCCTGGCCCCCGGGCAGCCCACACGGCCTCCTGCTCTTTGGTGGTCAGCGGGGGACTCGCGGGGCAGGCCTGTCCTGGCGTCTTCCCCACCACAGGCCACCGGAACAGGCCTCCTGGAGGGCATCTGTCAGGGGTGCTGTGGCTGTGCCGGTGCTCTGGCCCTCGGCCCCTCCTCACCAGCCAGCAGGACCCACACCACCACCCCCCTCCCCCGGGCCTGGTGCCTCTGGCCGTCTGCCCCGCAAGCCACAGTTGTGGCGTCCATTCAGGGTCCTGGGGGCCCCGAGGGGTGCCGAGCGGGGCCCCCGCTGTGCCGTGAGGTGGGGGGTAGCCCCGGTCACGGGACAGTCTTCCTGCGTCCACGGCTCGGCTCCCTTCTGTTCCCGGCTCGGGGCCGGGAGGTCTGAGGCCCACAGCCACACACTCACAATCTGGTGCCGCTCGGTGCTGGTAAAGAAGTTTTCTTGGTTGTCACTCCCGAGGAACCTGAGTGCGCGGGAAAAGGGCAGAACTCGAGAACCTGCGCACATGCAGGAGAGCACGCACGGGCACATGACACGGCACGCACGCGAGTACACATGGTGCACACGGGCGCACACGCATAGCCTCATCCCGCAGCTGGGAAGACGACCCCTAACCTGGGAGCACAATCAACTCCTGCTTTGCCTTTTCCAGTCTGGGGGCAGGAGGTCACAGCCGGGTCCCCGGACAGCACGGAAGCACCCCCCGACAGCCCGTGTGGGAGCACCAGGCTCACCAAGGAGCCCCGTAGCCTTCCACATTCCCCCTGAGACTCTAAGCAGGGGGTCAATGGCCTCGTGGGTGGTGCCTGGTGGTGGCCTGTGCGGATGGATGATCGGCCAGGGGCCCTCCCTGGGCCCCCGGAATCCTGGGAAGCCCCAGAACTGCTGGCTTCCCCCCGAAAGGAGGTGAGCTCGGCACGGGCAGGAAGACCACCTGCGAAGCTTCGGTGCTGGTCACCGACAGGGGTCCCCACCGCCCCTGGACACTCCCCTCTTCCGTGGCTGGGGTGGCCGTGCGGCTGGGCTGTCCCATGCATGCGGACAGCGCCTCCCGAGCCGAGACAGCGCCTCCTGTCTCTGCCTCAGAAGCAAGGAGCCTGAGCCCTGAAGACCGTGCAGAGCAGGGACCTGCCCACCCACCACAGACCAACAGCTGAGAGGGAAACGGACCTAAGCGCCCAGCGGGTTTGGGGGACGTTTGTCTCACCTTGACAGCTTGCTCACTTTGAACGGGCAGGAGTAATACTCAGGGGGCACGTCGGGCACGTCCTCCAGCAGGATGTTGGGGAGCCCCAGCCACGCCAGCAGGCCCGCCGACCAGTTGGAGGCCTGGTTGGGCAGCTCCTGGAGGGCACGGTTGCACTCCTGAGCGGATTTGGACGCAGAGGCGGGCACCATGCGTGGGGTGGGGGTGCGTGGGTTTAGAAAGTGGGCAGAGGGAGCCTGCCCGCCCTCCCCTGGCTCTGGAGCCTGCGGGGATTGACCGGGCCAGCCTCCGGCGCTCTCTGGGCCTTGGGCCATGGTGGGCAGCGGGAGCAGCCCCCAGGCACATCATCTGGAGGTCACCTGGAAAGTGCTGCCCCTCACCCCGTGTCCCCCAGGCTGGGGCTGGCCCCCAGTGGGTGGTTTCTGGTGGGGGGGGGCTCTGGGGTCTGGGCCTGGAGGAGTCCAGGTGGCCAGTTCAGAGCCTTGGCTCCTACGCACGCTCCCTACCCTCCGAGCCCGGTACCTCGACCCTCTCTGCCCACCAAGGCTTCTTGGGGCACAGTGATGGGGGTGGGAGGGACCCTCGCGGACACCGAGCGGGAGCCTCCAGGGGTGTTGGTATTGGCCGTGGTATGAGGGCGCAATCATGAGTGACCTTCGCTTGCGGAGGACCCCCTCCCCCCGCCCCGGGCACACCCGGGCACCTGCAGGGGCAGCTTCAGACGCAGGTCCTCAGCGTAGTAGCAGAGCACGGCCCAGGGGGCCCTGAGGAGGACGTACTGCACTGCTCCGTTCTCACCCTGGATAGCACGCTGCGGAGACCAAGGGCTCCATGAGAGCCTGAGGGGCGTGTGCACCTATGCGTGTGTGTGCACGCTTGGAGTGCGTGCACGTGTGTCCACTTACACTCCTGGGAAAGACAGATGCTTCTGTAGCCATGGTAACAAGTAACCAGCACCGGTTTTAAGTCTGTTCCAAAAATGACAACTTGCCTGTTGAATGTGCCTCCGAAAGCTGACCGGGCAGTGACCGCCCCCATTCAGCAACCAGCCCAGCGGCCAGGGAGGGACGGCACCCAGCCTGCGCCAGCCACGCCCCCTGGGACTGGCAGGACCAAACACACCCTTCCCCAAAGCCTGCCTCGTCCAGAGACTGTGGCTGACCCGCCCCACTCTCCTGACCTCAGCAGGCAATAGAGTCAGCTTTTGGTTTGCAGAGACTGAACAATGGTCTTGTCCTTTGACGGGCCGCTGGGCCTCTATGTTATGCATGCACATGTGTGCACACGTGTTTAGTGCATGCGCGTGACTGTCATATGCGTGCGCACATGTGGAGACACGTCGCAGGCCCTCTTGGGTCTCTGAGAGGGGACTTGGGGCATCCCGGTCCGGTGCACACGGTCTGGGGCCTGGTTTCCAGAACCTTGCCTAGTTCAGGTGCTCTCAGCCCGCCCTGCGTCACAGCCTTTAGGGTTCCCTGAATGCCAATGGCCAGCCCCCGCCCAGGGCCCACTGGAGCAGACACGCCCGGGGCGGGATGGGCTCGGCGGTGCTTCGGGCGACCGGCTGGCTGTGCTGTGCACCGGGAGCTGCCACCTAGACTGAAGACTCGGGGCACGTCAGTCACCGTGGTGGGGCAGCCGCCCACTGCTGTCCCCTGTGGCTGTCCTCCTGTGACCCCCACTACGACTGTCCTCCGGTGACCCCCACTAGAAGGTAAGACCACCCATTCTGGGTGAAGGTTTTGCAATCTCATGTGGTCACACCCATGAGCCAAAGCTTTCTCCAAGATAAGGTGGGGGGGGGGGG